ACCCCACGAGCAGGACGTACATAGGGTAGTCGTCCATGGTATCCGGTGCATGACAGTGACTGTCCCACTCCTCACCACTTAGACCTACCCACTGAACTGACTGACTGACTCTCTAAGGACCACAGGATCTTGATAGAATCCTGTCAACTATGGTCACTAGCCTGTAACTAATACTATGGCTGTCACTACAGGACTTACTGCCGATCAGGAGGCATTTAAGGAGATCCCCCATAACTCCTCATGAATTCTTTAACGTCGCAGACAGGACGACGTGATCAGAAAGTCCTCTCAAGACTTAGACAGCCCGTTGTGCAGCCCACAGCTCGGATTTTGGGCCTACTGTGCCACACCGAGCAGCCTGCCCGTCTGTACCAGTCCTTGGGAGGGTTCGTGTCCTCTGGGTCAGTCGAGTCGTCAGACACAGCCTTTAGCCCTACTCAGCCCGTGTGGGGGTTTGGTCAACGTGGCTCCATCCTTCATACACGGAGTTCCAATCACCTGGACAGAAGAGACTCAATGCAGAAAGAAGAGACAGACAGACTCAGCAAGTACCATGGGGTGAGTGCACATCCATAGGGCGAGGGAATAGGCTGAGGGCTTGGCGAGATTATACCAACTCCAGCTTGGTCAATTTCGTAGTCAACAGCTCCGGTCAATGCCTTGGTCAACTCTTGGTCAATGCGGTTACCCCTGGGTCAACACTCTGGTCAACCCCTGAGTCGAATTTGGTCAACTTTGGTCAACGCCTTGGTCAACCTTCAGCTTGGCTGTGGCTGCCGACACCTTCTCTTTCTCCCTCCTTTCTTCTCCCTCACTACTCTCTTCACCCCAGCTATGTCTTCCTTCTTCTTCGTCGTCTCTCGCTTCTCCTTCCTCGGCTATAGCTTCTTTCTTTCTCTATAGCTTCTTTCTTTCTCATCCTTCGTCTCTCCCTTCTTCTTTACTCGTCTTCTTTCTTTCGCCTCCGTGTCCGGGGTCCGTGGCTATGGTCGCCTTCTTCCTTGGACCGCACAACAATCTTCTCTCGCTCCTCTCTCTCTCTCTCTCTCTCTCTCTCTCTCTCTCTCTCTCTCTCTCTCTCTCTCTCTCTCTCTCTCTCTCTCNTCTCTCTCTCTCTCTCTCTCTCTCTCTCTCTCTCTCTCTCTCTCTCTCTCTCTCTCTCTCTCTCTCTCTCCCCTTTTCTTTGTCGTCCTCCTCTTGCAGGTACGTGGCACCTCACTTCAGTGGCGCAGCTATGGCGGACCTCCTCCTTCAATGGCGCAGCTACCTTTATGGCGCCCAGACAGCGACGGCGCGTGGAGTAACGGGAACCAGCTCCGATACCAATGTAATCAGACTCGCTTTCTTCTTCACTTCGCATACATGCCGACAGATAGCAATTCACACTGGCGCCAGGTGCCCACTCAAAGCTCAGAGATGTGGAAACCAAGATCACAGTTCAGATGCAAACTCGCCTCATCCAGCTATGGCGCAACAGCGCCCGTACACCCAACTCTCGTCACTGTGTCCAACACCACTGTTCGCACGTACTCCACTCTGGATCCCCCTGAATACTCCACGCACCCGTACTCGGTCTCACGCACACACACACACTAACCTCTATCTCTAACCTATGGCGGCTATGGCCGCTCGCTACTACTACTATGGCTACGCTTTCTTGCCCACTTTGGCTTAGGGCGCTCTGCAGACCACCTCGCACAAGACGCTGGGGCAGCGCTTCCGCATGGCCTATACAGCGAATGAATGAATGGCTGGGCTCTGCCTCTTGATTTATACTTCTGTGACTCGTTGGTCTGCCCTTTTCCCAGGCCCTTGGTGCACACAGTCCCACACGGTACTTGCTTGACTGGACTCTGACTGACTGGGACCGGTACTGCTGACTGCATGGGTTTGCACTGCCAACTCGATGCAGTCGCACTGCCGATGTAACACAGTTGGGCTCACCACTTGCCCACTTGCCTCTGGCCAAACGTGAGGCAACTTCGAAAGGCCACTTCCGGACCTTCCGGAAGTCTGTGGACTTGGCCTTTCGAGTACTGTGCAGCTACGACCTTGACCTTTCGGGACTGCAGCAGCTACGACCTTGACCTTTCAGAATACCTACAACTACGACCTCTGCAGAGCTGTGACTCCTAATTGACAGACCTACAGATCAAACCCCTACCACTACGCAGACCTACGACAGCTGACAACCAACTACCAAAGCACAGGTCACGGGTTCAAACACTCGGGGGTCGACTCGATACTGTACATGGGAATGGAACTCTACGGCCCGCATCTGTGACTGTAGAAAGGTGAAAACCATTTCATGTCAGTGTTGGGTCTCTATCTGGGTGGAAGGTTTTCAAGCTTGGGGGCGATTCATCTCTCATTTCATGCACACTATCCCGTCAGCACACCCACATTTCACTTCTGTTCAACATGAGTGAACTGGTGCTGTGGTATGAAACTGGTTTGGAACGTTCGATGTAGAATCAAAAGAGATTGAAGGTACTGATAATCTAATAGCTGCTACTGATGCCGCACTCTGACGCCACATGAAAAGAATGCTGCTGGGTGGGGCCCAAAAAAAAGGACCAAATGAGTTGCCAGTTGTGGCAAAAAAGAAAAGGCCACCATAGCTACCAGCCCGGGGAGGAGGGAGGGGGGGGGGAGAAAAAACCTACTGGGCAGTGCGACTAGTAGCAGCCGAGTCCCAAAGAGAATGAGGGCCAACATGGAAGTGTAATGCTCCCTTTGCCCCTGCCCAACCCAGGCACAGATAAGACACACACACACACACACACACACCAACGCACGAACACAACAAACACAGAAACACAGCCTCCTGGTAAGTCTATGTATTTCCGACGAACAGCCTGGCACAGTCATGCTGTTTCTGTGGAGCAGTCCTCAGTGAACATGGCAAACACATGCACACACACACACACACACACACACACACACACACACACACGCGCACACACACAGACACCCACACACACACATACGGAGAGAGAGAGAGAGAGAGAGAGAGAGAGAGAGAGAGAGAGAGAGAGAGAGAGAGAGAGAGAGAGAGAGAGAGANAGAGAGAGAGAGAGAGAGAGAGAGAGAGAGAGAGAGAGAGAGAGAGAGAGAGAGAGAGAGAGAGAGTTCAGAATCTAACGTGATCACGTGAGGTATGGGGGAGCTGAATTGTATATGATTGAGAGACTGAGAAATGGTTCAACCATTGGAGCTGCATTGGTATTCTTACAGCTTTCTTAGGTTCTACTATAGCCCTTAGTCAAATTGATCTAAAAAAAAGTTTAGCTTATTCAACAATTTCTCAACTTGGATATATGATGGTTGCAATGGGCATAGGATCATATAAAGCTGGTTTATTTCATCTTGTAACTCGTGCATATTCAAAAGCACTTTTATTTTTAGGATCTGGTTCAATTATACATAGCTTAGAGCCACTTCTAGGTAACTTAGCTAAGGCATGAACGTCTGTAGAAAGAACAAAAGTGGAACTGGAGCCGTGTGGATGTGTACAAGATTAGGTGTTGTGCCGATGAGATGAATAGGACGGGTGGGCGCTACAGGTAACTAACAAGCAGGTTTGCTTAGTTTACGTGAGGTGATGTTATAAGGTACTGTAGAGTGGACAACAGCACTTGTATAGGACTTCGTTGTGGACTCGATGGCCGGGATATTGGCTATGCATGATGAAGATTGTGGTGTGTGAGTCATTGAGGTTATGTGGGTGAGTTAATCAATGCGGCTTTGGGGGGGGGAACTTCTAAGTTGAAGAGCCCGCTAGCCATAATATCAGTTCATACCGGATGTATGTGACAGGACGTGTGTACGTCACACCATATAGACTCCATGGGATAGAGGGCTTGGGTGGAAGGTAGGGCTGAAAGGCATTCCAGGGGTCTGTTAGAAATGACATGGACGCTCTGCCAGCTTGTCACGAAGAGATGCATCCTCATTGGTGAGGTGGGGGATGTCATCATGGTCGTCATCGGTATTAATTGCGTTGAAACGATGAGGAAAGAACAAGGTGCTATATGGGAAAGACTGCCGGTTGGAACGGTAGCGGAGCTGGGTACTTTGCCTGCTTTGTCTCTCTCAGCATCATACTCAATTAGGGTCTCTTGCCTCACTGTATGCTTTGAGTATGTCAGTCCCCTTGCTCTCCATGTTTTCCCTTGATCTTCTTTGAAGTTAAGGCTTAACTCTCTCTCTCTCTCTCTCTGAGTATGCTATGTCTGGCATTGTCTGCTAACCAACAGTTCGCATGCGCTGGTGGTGTGACGAGGCGTTGCCTCGGGCTGATGTACTCTTACCTTGCTCGGCTCGCTCCCTCAATTGTCTGCAGGATAAGGCTGTAAGCAAACGTGGTTTGCCCTCTCACTAGCCTTCTCGAGCTTCTGATGTATTCCTTTATTAACTCTCTCTGTGCGCGAGCACTTAATCTCTGGTCATATCTTTTTACCTGTCTACAGTCTCATCGGTTAATTGTATCTTCTGTCCTCTTTTGGGCTCTCCCACCCATCCCCAGATCAAGGGAAAGACAGAAGAATCACAAACATAGGAAGACAGGTCATAGAGGGTACACAGATTGATTAGTAATTCACCCTCCTATCTAGTTCATCTTAGTGTGGTTATTATCCACCTCAAGATCTGCTTCCCTCATCAAGTCAATATAAGTTCAATCAATCTCATTCCTCTTGAAGATTGAGCTGGGAATCTGGTCTCCGAGCAACACCTTGTTGCGTCTGCATGCAACTCGATGTGAACTGATCATGGGTCTGTTCATGGTTGTCGTTGTGTTCAGAAGGGGTTTTGCTATTCCCTTGACAACTGGGTTGTCCTAAAATTACATCCCCTATCTTGACTGAGCTCCGAGAGAGTTGTTCAGCAGAGTTTGTAATGTGTTTGCACTTCTTTTGACTGGTTGCTGCTCTTTTTTCGGAACTGGTTATAGGTGGGTGTGGAATTTATAAAGTGCAATGGGTTTTTGTTCATTGCAGGGGAACACAAGGTGACTCGACCACAGCAGGAGCTCCTGCCCCTGACATCAATCTGAATGCCCTTCTGTCAATACTGGGGGGCCAGCCTGGTGGTGCGCCAGGTAACATCTACTTTTCAGTGGGCAGCAGTCCAGCTCGCATTTCTCTTTCTACTCCCTCCGTCGTGTGAACTGGTTCTCTTGGCTATGCTGCTTCTTAAATCACCAGTACATGGCCCCAGCCAAGTAGAGCATCTGATTGAGCCTCTCCTAAATTTTTGGAGGCTTGGAACAGGGCGTTTGCAGGGCCAGCAAAAAACAAATTGTGCCATGCCGTGGGATGGCACTAGTCCCAGCCCTGAACAAAAAAAAGGAGTCCCGCCCACCCGTTGGCGGGCCCTGTTCCGAGTCCCCTAACTTTTCGGAGTGGCTCATTCGGATTCTCCAGATATGCTGGTGGTTTCAGGGAGTGAAGGGGTCAAATGGGTCTGTAGCAGTCCCAAGCACATTTTGGACTTTCACATGTTCTGGGTAGGCTGCATGGGTACTGGATGTATGCTGTCTGTGGGGCACTGGTTTAATTATGCGTGGGGGTTGTATTGGTCTACTGGGCTCTAGCCATAAGGGTTGGCTCTGTTATGCGTCATGGTTGTTCTTTCAAAAAGTATATATGGAGCAGCAGCAAAAATGGAATGAACAAGGTTGTGCATCATTTTGGGTATTCCTGTCTGAATTGCAAATAGGGTTGGGGGTGTGTTGATGCAGTGGGGAGATGTTTTGAGAGAAGTTTGTATGGTGCCCACGACTCCACATGCAAGCTCAGACAGGTTGCAGGGATGTATGGACCGTTTAGAGTTTTATCACGAGAATGGGATAGGGTGGTAGGGTGGTAGGGTGGTAGGGGCTTCCAAAGGCTTGTCAAGTGGGCTAGAGGCGGCAGAGGATACAAAGCGGGTAGAGGGGGAGGGATGCCATATAGCAGTTGTCGTGGATGGTTGGAATATGGTGACGCTATGCTCAGAAGGTTCTAATGTGCATTGAGTGCGCTTACAAATATGAAACGGGAGGTCATGTTCTTCACAATTGTCAAATTTGCGAAGAAGCCCTCAAGAGGCAAAGATCCCCTGCAACGCTAGTGGTGTCTGTCCTCACCAGTGCCACTAGCGCACACCGGGGCTGTTTTTTCCCTTGTTTTTCAAAGCAAAGATCCTCCATTGGCTGTGGAAACCAGGTCCGTTGTAGGAAACCAGGTTCCTTTCGACCTCCCTTTTCAGCAGAAAGTGGGATCACTACTGGTTATGTGTGGCATACTGGTACCACACAGGGCCCAGTTAGGGCCCGGTTCTGTAGTAGGCACGGGTAGGCCTAGTGACCGGGTCACGACGGTCCCAGTTAGGCCTAGGTAGGCCTAGGACCCGTCGGTTCAGTTTAGGGTCCGGTAGGCCTCGTTTAGACCCTACCAGACCCAATTGCTAGTTGGTTAGGCCAGGTACCAGGTCCATCGGTAGGACCGGCTGGCGGCGCAGTTTTGGCGCCACTTTTCAGATTCCGAAATCGGATCTGAACCGTTGGGCCTGATCAACGGTCCAGACCCGAAGGCCCTCAGTAGGACTGAGGCCGACCCAGCACTATATCAGCTGGGTACCAGCCTCAGTAGACAGAAGGTTGGTCTTCAGGATTAGCGCAGCGTTTCAGCGTTAGCTGGATTAGCGCAGCGCTGCAACTTTACCATGAGCAGCGAGGAGAGGAACGAGCGCAGCATTGGGAGCAGTGTCAGCCACCGGCCCAGCCCGCGGCCCAGCACCAGTCCCTGCGCCGCCATAGCTACCGTATCAGGTACCAGGGAGAAAGGCCTTGCCTTCTCTCCCGCTCTCTCTCTCTCTCTCTCTCTCTCTCTCTCTCTCTCTCTCTCTCTCTCTCTCTCTCTCTCTCTCTCTCTCTCTCTCTCTCTCTCCTTCTACCTTCT